AAAGCTCCGATTTGCAGGAGAAAAGACCAAAGTCAAGTACTACTGAGAGTGTGGCTCCAGCCAAGGGCAAGCCCAGCCTGGCAGGGAGACGGGAAGATGGGGGAGGAGGGTGTTGCTGAAACTCCTGCTTGGGGGGTAGGCAGCCTCTAGGCAGGTGTGGACCCTCCCACCTCCGGGTCTGAGAGCCACAGGCCTCAAGGTTCAGCTACACTGGCTCACTCAGCCCGCTCTGCCTTCAGCCCGCAGCCCTCAGCGGCCTGATTTGAAGCTGCCCGGGGTATCCCAAGCTCCCAAATGAGTGTCGAAAAACAGCGCAGGCCCAGCGGAGTTTGCAGCTGAGGCCACGGTGGGTTCACTGTAACTCATCCTCCCACCGCAAAACACCCGAGCGAGTGGATCCGCATGTGTGCACACGTTCACCCACAGGCAGCAGCTTGCAGGGGGGGGGGGGGGGGGGGGGGGGGGGCGGCATGAGCATCTTTGGTTTCTCAAAATTCTCTCTCTGCTTCCGGGAAATGAATGAGGACATGAAGTCATGCTGGGAGAAGGGGAGGAAACTGAAGAAACAAACTTGTTGCTGTTTTTCAGATTTTACATTGAGAGCATATCGTTCTTAAAGGACAGGACCACCGTGGAGCTGTTCTTCCTGAACGCCAAGTCCTGTGTGCACAAGGTAAGGCCCGCTTCCCGGGGCAGCTCCAGGCAGACTGCGGGCGAGAGGGGCGTGGGCTGCCTCTGCTTTCCTGTCCAAATGGGAAAAGGCCATAGTCTCTCCGTGGCTCTTCCTACCTCGCCCCCACCCCCAAATGGCAGCTCTTCTGAAATTCTGAGCGGGAAAGCCAGCTGCCTGCTGAGGACGTTCACACACAGTCAGCTGCCCTCCGTGCACCTGCTGCGCCAGGGGAAGGACAGAGGCGCCATCAGATGGTGCCTGCAGCCTCCCAGAGTCAGACCAGAAAGCTCTTCTAACATAGTGTCCCCACATTTAGCATAATTCCAACCCAGGTTGTTCAGGGCCTCTGCTCAGAGTTAGGCACGGTGAGGCAGCGCCTCAGTCTGTGGGAAACTACTCGGCCATAAAAAGGAAGAAAATGTTTCCCTTGGGACAGAGATGTCTGCTTTCACCACTCTTATTCAACAAAGTCGGATACCTTTTCTGTCTATTTCTTGTCTCCGGTGGCTAGGGATTCCAGTGCTATGTTGAATAAGGGTGGTGAAAGCAGACATCCCTGTCTTGTTCCCAATCTTAATGGAAACACTTTTAGTTTTGCCCGTTGTGTGTGATGTTGACCTGGGTTTGTCATATATAGCCTTTGTTATGTTGAGGTATATTCCTTCTACTCGCACTTGGCTGAGAGTTTTTATCATAAATAGATGCTGTATTTTATCAAATGCTTTTCCTGCATCTATTGATAGCATCATGTGGTTTTTATATTTCATTTTGTTTATGTGGTGTATCATGTTTATCAATTTGTGGATATTATACCAACCTTGCATCCCCAGAAGAAATCCCACTCGATCATGGTGCATGATCTTTTTAATTATTGCTGGATCAATTGCTAATGTTTTGTTGAGGATTTTAGCATCTATGTTCATCAGGGATAGCTTATATAATAAAAGGCTAATATATACAAATGGAATGGTGGAACAACCGGTTGCTATGACATGCACTGACCACCAGGGGGCAGACGCTCAATGCAGGATCTGCTCCCTGGTGGTCAATGCACTCCCACGGGGAGTGCTGCTCAGCCAGAATCGGGGCTCACGGCTGGCGAGCGCAGCGGTGGTGGTGGGAGCCTCTCCTGCCTCCGCGGCAGCACTAAGATGTCTGACTGCCGGCTTAGGCCTGCTCCCCGCCTAAGCCAGCAGTCGGACATCCCCTGAGGGCTCCCGGACTGTGAGAGGGCACACGCTGGGCTGAGGGCCCCCCCTCCAGTGCACAAATTTCGTGCACCAGGCCTCTAGTTGGTCTATAATTTTCTTTCTTTGTAGTGTCTTTATCTGGTTTTGGAATTAGGATAATCTAGCCTCATAAAATGAGCTTGGGAGTCTTCCCTCATCTTGAATTTTTTGGAAGAGTTTGAAAAGGATAGATGTTAGTTCTTCTCTAAATGTTTGGTAAAATTCACCTGTGAAGCCATCTAGTCCAGGGCTTTTGTTTTGGGGAATTCTGTGATTACTGTTTCAATTTCACTAGTTGTGATCTGTCTATTCAGATTCTCTGATTCTTCCTAATTCAGTTTTGGAAGATTGTATGTTTCTAGGAATTTATCCATTTCATCCAGATTGTCCAATTTGTTGGAATGTAGTTGTTTATAATAATTTCTTACAAGCCCTTGTATTTGTTTGGTGTCAGGTTGTTACTTCTTTCATAGCTCATTTTATTTATTTAAATCCTTTTTCTTTTTCTGTTGATGAGTCTGGTTAAAGGTTTGTCAATTTTGTTTATCCTTTCAAAGAACCAGCTCTTGGTTTCATTGATCTTTGTATTGTTTTTTTAAAACACTATTTAGTTAATTTCTGCGCTGATCTTTATCATTTCCTTCTACTCACTTTGGGCTTTGTATGTTGTTCTTTTTCAAGTTCCTTTAAGTGTCAAGTTTGACTGGTGACTTGAGCTTTTTCTTGTTTCTTGAGATAGGCCTGTAATGCCATGAATGCCCTTCTTAGGACTGCTTGCCTTTTGACCCACAGAGGTTGGGTTGTTGTGTTGTAATTTTCATTCATTTCAAGGTATCGTTTGATTTTTTTCCCTTGATCTCATTGTTAATCCATTCATTGTTTAGTAACATGTTATTTACCCTCCATATCTTTGTGTGTTTTTCAATTTTGTGTTTTTTTTGTATGATTGATTTCTAGTTTCATAGCATTATGGTCAGAGAAGATGCTTGATATGAATTCACTCTTCTTAAATTTATTGAGACTTGCTTTGTTTTCTAACATGTGGTCTGAAGATACCAATTAAATCCACTTGATCTAGTGTGTCATTTAAGGCTGCCTTCTCCTTGTCGATTTCCTGTCTGGAAGGTCTATCCATTGATGTCAACTGAGTGTTAAAGTCACCTCCTATAACTGTATTACTTTCAGTCTCTCCCTTTATGTCCATCAAGATTTGCTTTCATATTTAGGTGCTCCTATGTTGGGTGCATAAATGTTTATAAGGGTTGTATGCTCTTGTTGTATTTCTCCCTGAATCATTATGTATTGTCCTTTGTATCTTACTATAGCCTTGGTTTTAAAGTCTATTTTGTCAGGTATAGTTAGGTATTGCTACACCAGCTTTTTTTTTCATTTGCATGAATTGCCTTTTTCCATCTCTTTACTTTTAGTCTGTGTGTATCTTTCATTCTAAGGTGGGTCTCTTGAAGACAGCATATATATGGGTCTTGTTTTCTTATCAGCTACCCTATGTCTTTTGATTGGAGCATTTAAGCCATATACAGTTAAAGTGACTATTGATAGGTATGCACATATTGCCATTTTATTTTTTTTAACTATGTTACTCTGTTTTCTTCTTCTTAAAGTACGTCCTTTAATATTTCTTGTAATACTGGTTTGGTGGTACAAACTCCTTTAGCTTTTTCTTTTCTGGGAAGCTCTTTATTTCCCCTTCAATTTTAAATGATAGCCTTGCTTGGTAAAGTAGCCTTGGTTGTCGGTCTTTATCTCACTTTGAATATTTCATGCCAATCCCTTCTGTCCTGAAATGCTTCTGTTGAGAAATCAGCTGAAAATCTTTTTTTTAAAATATATTTTATTGATTTTTTACAGAGAGGAAGGGAGAGGGATAGAGAATTAGAAACATCGATGAGAGAGAAACATCGATCAGCTGCCTCCTGCACACCCCCTACTGGAGATGTGCCCACAACCAAGGTACATGCCCTTGACCGGAACTGAACCCGGGCCCCCTCAGTCCGCAGGCCGACGCTCTATCCACTGAGCCAAACCGGTCAGGGCAGCTGAAAATCTTATGGGAGCTTCCTTGTAGGTAAATAACTTTTCTCTTGCTGCTTTTAAGATTCTTTGTCTTTAACCTTTACCATTTTAATTATGATGTGTCTTGGTGTGGGCCTGTTTGGATCCATCTTATTTGAAACTCTCTGTGCTTCCTGAACTTTATGTCTTTTTCCTTCACCAGGTTATGGAAGTTTTTGGTCATTATTTCATCAAATAAGTTCTCAATTCCTTGCTCTTTCTCTTCTCCTTCTGGTACCTCTATGATTCAGGTGTTGCCACACTTCATGTTGTTGCAAAGGGCCCTTAAACTATTCCTCATTTTTATAAATTCTTTTTTCTTTTTGCTGCTCTGATTGGGAGTGTTTTTCTACCTTGTATTCCAAATCACCAATTTGATCCTCCACTTCATCCAACCTACTGTTTATTCCTTCCAGAGTATTCTTTATTTCAGATATTTCATTCTTCATTTCTGACTGTTTTTTTTTTATAGATTCCATGTCCTTTTTCATGATGTAGAGCATCCTTATAATCATTATTTTGAATTCTATATCTGATAAATTGCTTGCCTCCATTGCATTTAGCTCTTCTTCTGGAGAACCTTCTTATTTTTGTGTTTTTGTTGTTTTTCAGTTAGGGCCTGATTTTTTGTCTCCCTATTTTGGTTGCCTCTTTGTGTTTGTTTCTGTGTATTAGATAGAACTGCTATGACTCCAAGTCTTGGCAGGGTGGCTTTATGTAGGTGACCTGTGGAACTCAGTCTCCCTGATCACCTGAGCTGGATGCCATAGGAATGTCCCTTGTGCACGTTATGCAGTCCTTCCTGTTGTAATTGAGTCTTGATTGCCATTGGCCCTTTTGTGTGTGGGATTGACCCTCAGGCTAGCTGACTCTGATACTCAACCACCAACACAGCATGCAACCTGCTATGCAGGTGCTAATCACATGAAATGGAATTCACCTCAGTATGGTTTGATGCCTGCCAAGATTTCCCTGTGGATATGCTGCTTATGAAGCTTTTTGGATTCTGCTCTGTTGTTGTCTGAAGCTGACCACTGGGTGTAATGGTTCTGAGCTTTTGCAGAGGAACTCTGGTGAACACCTATGTCAGATGCTGCCTGTGACTGGCCCTGGGCAACCTGTTTGGAGCTATCAGCAATCCACAGCTTGTGGCTCCCTCTGCTGGGTGGGCCTGGGTGCATGTGGAAAGGACAAGCTATGCACCAAGGCTGGCTTTTATCAGCACTGGGCCTGAGGGCAAGTCAGAAAAAACCTCAAGGCACCCAGAGATCTGCCTCCACATGCAGGCTCTTGTTAGGCTTAATCACTGAAAGAACCTTCAACTGTATTCCTCAGCAGGGCTAAAGCTCCACAGGGTGGGGTGAGAGGCATTTCAGTGGGTGGGACTATTGCTTCCCCCCATGATGCTGCATGGAGGGGAATGCTCTGCCTGAGAAAGATGGCTTCTGCAGTATGGGAGAATAACTCAACACAGGGATCCTGGTGGCTGACCCTACAGCTCGCTCCTCAGAGCCACCAACTCCATGCTTTCCACACGTGGCTCTAATCTGCTCTGCCCTCCCTCTGTCAGAGCCCAGGATGAGTGGCTGGGAACAAAATTTTGTGCATTGGCCCTTTAAGAGGTGCCTGCATCTCTAACCATCTCTCCCTGGTGGACAGAAACCCAATTGCTTTTCATAGACAGATGCTCTTGGGCAC